CATAGGAGGGTTTATACGTGAAAAACGCATCAAGTTATTTAGGAGTAAATAAAAAGCAGATAGTGATTATAACCTAGTAGTGATGAAAATTAATCTTAAATATAAAGTTACGAAGTTAAGAAAAGTCTTGGTTATGATCAAATTATAAAGATGCACGTGGTAGGTTAGATAGGAGGATGACGAATACTAAACGAGGCAGGAAATAACAATGATATGAACTTATAGAATGAAACTGCATTATGATACGAATATCAAACAAGACTAAAGGATTAATAGAAGAAAGGCGAAAATACAAAAGCAGATTAGTAGATCAAGAAGGGCAAAAGGGACGATACCTAATGTGTGAAATAATTAGGAAGTGTAGGACAGCTAAGGAACAGCGGATTGAAAAAATAGGTGTAAACTGACGAGGCTTGAAATTGAAAAGAACTTTAGAGAAGTGGGAGACGGTAGTTATGATTATTAGAAATGAGTCAGAAATCATCTTATTTAGAAACGAGAAAAAATCGGATAGGTGGAAAAAATACTTTTCGAAAAATAGAAGACAGTCTTTCAATTAGCATTAAAAAAATTTAAGGCATCCAATTTTAAAACATGTAAGCCAAAAGATTGGAAATCGTTAGTTAGCTAGTTAGAAACAACTACGAAACGAGAAAAGTTCCGGATGACTACAAATGGAACTTGCTTAGTAGAAACGATAGATGCGATATAATAATTAGCTTAAAACTTATAACTAGAATAGTGCAGAGAAGGGTTGAGAAATGGCGGAAGAAATATTGGGGAAATGTCAACTCAGATTTAGATGTAATAGGGAAGTTATTTTGGCTTCACGGTAATGAAGAAAAAATGACAAAAATTGAAAAACAGTGTACATACGATTCGTAATTGTAGAAAACACTTCTGACAATCTTCAATAGAAAAAGGTGCTAAATATACTTAAAAATTTAGGGATTAGATACAAGCATAGAAAAGTCATATGCGGTATGTAGTTTTAAAGAAAAATGCGAAGATTGACTCAAGATAGTAAAGAGTGGAATTTAAATTTGTTCATTACAGACATGATAAAGTTGAGAAAATTAAGTAAATTATAATCACGATTAAAATTTGATACTGTAGCTTAAAGATCCTCAAACGCGAATAGTTGAAATATTTATCTGTTGCACCCGCAAGTATGGATAGTATGGACAGTGGGCGCGGCGGAAAAGAAAAGGCTAGAAGCTTTCGAAATGTGGTGTTATAGGCGAATGATGAGGATAACGTGGATAGAGAAGGTTAGAAATGAAGAGGTATTAGAAAGAATAGGAGAACAAAGGACTCTATGGAAGTCAATAAGAAATAGGCGAGATAGGTTGGTAGGACAACTTCTGAGACATAAAGGTCTAGTCAGAGACATACTAGAGGCAGAAACAGGAGTTAGGAGGGGTAGAGGTAGACCTAGATTAGATTACTGTTCGCAAATAGTTAAGGATGTGGGTTGTTCTAGTTTTAGGGAAATGCGAAGATTAGCTCAGGATACGAAAGAGTGGAGGTACGTGTCCAATCAGTCTTAGGACTGACGACCTTATGATGATGATTCCAAGTATTATAAACATGTAGGTACTATTTAAGAAGCTACATAAACTATTTGTTATGTAATCTTATACAAAATAAAATTAATAGTGGCTAATTGTTTTAGATTACAAAATCTTATAAGGGAAATAATAATGTATGAGGAAATGAGTGACAATAAGCAAATGGGTACTTTACAAATAACGAAAGAAAAGTATTAAAATTATGGCTGGTTATCAAATAGCTAATAATGATATGTAGGTTCAGTACATAATATGCAGCTTTCACCATGCTACCGTTTGTTATAGACACTCAATTATGCTTTTTACTGCTCATTATAAGGTTTTTAGTATTAATAAATATGAGTAGTAGTTTCCAAGAGAAGAAAACGTGTAAAACTATTGGGTACTTATAGAGACATGTAACACGTATAAAGGTAAATTTATAAATTATCTCGCTATTTGGAATTATTATCCCTGCCTTGAAAATATTTTAAAGAAAAATTTCCATTTTCTATCCTTAATATACATGGGTATTTACACGACCATTCTTAAAAGGGTCTTTTTTAATATTTCAGATGAAATTTACGTAAAATTTTATTATTCATCAATGCTCATTTTTCTTTTTTTGTCAGGGCAAGTCGGAAAAAGATTGACATTTGACATCGAACATAATTTTTCTATCAATCTATTTATCATTTTAATTCAATTAGTTAAACATTTTTCGTATTAGAATTTCCTTAATCTTAACTGTATCATAGATTACATTTCAAAATTCCTGTAACTTGTTTTTTAAAGGCATTTTCTGCAATATGGAGATTGCACATTACTTCGATGAAGAAAATTTTAAGCCTTTTTTGTTACCACTTTGTGTTTATAGTCATAATTTAAACCTAACGATACATGAGTGCTTTTTCTTTATTTTATCAAGAAACCGAATTGGGATAAAATGTTTGAGTATTATTTAATCTATTTAATGAAAATATTTTCAATATTGTGGCACTTTGGATTCTAATGGAAGGGGGAAGTTTACATTATTTTAGATGAAATGACCCAATTTTCTTTATTTTCTTAAATAACTTATTGAATCATTTTTTTTATAAAACTTAGGTACTACACTTAAATATGTATAAATATATTGTGTCTTTTATTGACCAAAATGAGAGAATACCTTATCTTTGGCTGGAATAGTCTTGGTTTGGCTACACGAAGGACGAGTTGATCTTAATTATTCAAAATTGTTTATTTTATGCTGATGATCAGTGGCGGATTATTTTGTATTAATTAATAGCACGATCCTCAAATATATTAAAGATACTTGTATACACACATGTCTGTGTATACTGTATACACATTTTTAAAAAATTTTTACAATAAGGTCTATATATTGAAATTTTGAAATTCGTGATTTTTAGGTTTTTTAATAAATTTATACGATAATTTCAGTCTAAATTTAAAGGAACTGAATAAATTATAAGTGCCCGACAATAGTAGGTTGTGACGACTGTTAATGATTCCGTTCCGAAGAGATTCAAATTTTACTTTTAAGTTGTAATAGTAGAGTATTTAGATTTATACCTTTTATGAAGCGTATTGAAATATGTTCACAGGTTTTTTAGTTACAATATAAAATAGAAAATGGTCTTTATTATTATCATTAGTGAAACAGTTCCTGTGACGTACTAACAAAACTTAGTAGTATAGTATACGGAATTTACCCTTCCTTTCCGTACATAAATAACCCTTGGTAAATTTTATAAATAAACAATAAAAACAACAAGTTTTGCGTTTTGGAAAGTACCTATCTATTGGGCATTTTGTCAAAAATTTTTTTTGTTTTTGCGAGGTTGTTATCGAAACTATTTAATGTTTAATGATGTACAGGAATTGACAGTGGTAAGTTCTCATTCGTATCTTATAGAATTGGTATTGTAATGGGAAAGCGCGCTGTGTATATATAATCTACATATAAGTGAAAACCACTGTTTGTTTGCGTACACACATACAGACACACACACAATTTACGACATTGTCACTGGGACTAATTTAAAACTGGGTCCAGATCTTATAAATCAGCCAGTTGTCATAGATAACTGCCGTTCAATTTAGAAATACTGAAATCCACATTATTCTAACAAACTCTTGTTGTCCAACAACAACTAGACAACGAATACGACAAGAAACAACAAAACCAAGTAAGTACGAGAATCGAGAAAGCCTAGACTATCCTACGACTGGAACATATCTAGAGAGAATCGCATTTAAAACAATTTATGGCAGATTCTGGAACCCAGTTTCCTGTAGTGAATTATTAATTTGCCTTTTCCATTCCGTTTATCGAACAGAGATGAAAATATATTGGGACTCAGTTCTCGGATAAAGAGAACAAACGAGGAAGTGAACCTGTAAAATGAAACAAGTGAACGCTCTTAATTAACTTGATGGTTTAAAATTGTCGTTGCTGTAAGATTACTTCGTCTTAACGATAGTGTTAAACTGTTTCAAATCTATAGGGTTTTCTTTTACGATTACTAACAAAAGGCAATGGCGTAAGAAAATCTTTATGCCTAAATTTTAATATTTTAAGTTTTTGCTACCGTAATTAAAAACTAATTATAATTACCTACCTATAAATACTTGAGAACTACTGATTAATAAATTCTAGTATTCTTTTTTTCTCAATACTTTTTTATAACTATTATAACGTATATATGCGCACATAATTATATGTATATATATATTATATTTAGATTTAAATTTTTTCACAAAACTTTAACAAAGAAAAAGGTTTTAAATCGTTACGGTTGTCGCATCTCGTATGACCGAGCTGCCAAAACTGAGTCGCTCTTCTTATTTCGATGAAGATAATTAAAGTCGCAACTTTGAAATTTTCTCCACTTGTCTCCGGCGTACTCAGTTAAGCGTAGCGTTGAACGCTAGCTGGATAGAAGAGACTTAACGCATAGCGGATGATCCCGCAAAAAAAAAACAGCGCTGAATATCTTTTTGAATTAACGTGCGCTAAAGCAGAAGAAAACCATTTGATAGCGAAGAACGGTTAATATTACAAGGGATCAACGATAAGATCGGCCATCCAAAAAAGTCTCGGTTACATTTGTTACATTTGAACTTATCTAATTATTCAACGTTTCAATCTATCGTGTCCACTAATTATAAGTGATGAATTATACATCCTGATGACTAAATTGAGTAATCGGTTCGTATGAATAAGGAAATATTTTTGACAGTTAAGATAGCATTCGAATTTGTAGGTACCTTTTGTTTCATTTTATGGAACAAATCCTTATTATTGTTTAATCAAATCTTAAATGTCCATTTTAAGGACGATAACAAATTTAACTTGTATATTATTATATATTTGTTAGTGAATATGTTAGCCATCATATCAAATCTTAGATGATAATCAGCAGATAGTTAAAAATTAATTGATGGTCAAGTTCGAAGCTTATTGAAGTTACTAAAAGCTATTCTTACCTTAGTTTTTGACGTTTTGGGAGGCCCTCCGATGACAATGGCATAAACTTCGACTTCGTAGCTGCTTACTCCTTGTTCTCTGTCCAGTTCTACAGCTGTCGAGAGTACTCCTAAATTCGTGTCGATATCAAACAATCTGTCCACTTGAACACCACCACCGGTCACATTTGTCACATAATATTCGACATCTTGCGCCCCATATTTTGCCGAAACCGTTAATATACTAGTACCGAGAGGTTCGTTTTCAAATACGCTCCCTTCAAAGTTACTTTTTTCAAAAGTAGGCCCTTTCGAATCTAACCCAGTAGTAATAACTGTCACATAAGCGTCAGTGGATTTTCTTTCACTTTGGACGGCTTCATCTGTTGCTTTTATTGCAAGTTGATAACGAGGTTCCGGATTAAAAATGGGCTTCTTTAATGTTAAAGCCCCTGTGCTCCTGTGTAAGCGAAACAAATCGCTATTGTCGCTTACAAGCTCGTATGTTACCAATCCGTTCGTGCTCGAGTCCAAATCTTTAGCGAAAACGTTCATAATAAGAGTCCCGTCCCTTCCAAAAGTTGTTCTGTGTTGTAAGGGAAGAATTGCCGAGTTCATTGAAACAAAAACTGGCGCGTTATCGTTTAAATCTTCTACTATAACAGTTACCAACTTTTCAGCACTCAATCTAGCACTTTCAGGTTCTGCCTGATCTGTGGCCACAACGATTAATCGGAAAGTATCTGTTTCTTCTCTATCAATAGGTAGCAATGTGTGAATTAATCCTGAAGAAGGATTTATTTTAAAACGTCTTTTCCCATCTCTTGGCTCTTGATGGATAATTGTGTACGATACCTTTCCGTTTATTCCGGAGTCGGCGTCTTCAGCAGTAACTGTGACTATCGGTGTCCCTGTTGGAATCCCTTCTCGTATCTGTCTTACAATTGCAGTGTTTGGAAAAGCGGGAGGATTATCGTTAGCATCCTCTATATATATCGTAAACATTATCGTTGTCGATAATTTTGGATTGCCATTATCGGAAGCGGTTATGTTTAAGTGGTAAACGTTTAGATCTTCGTAATCTAAAGGCTTATGTAAATATAAAGTTCCTGTCGAAGGGTCCACATGAAACGTGTCACGCCTATTACCGGCCGTTATGGAAAATGATACCTCGCTATTTGTTCCGAGATCTGCGTCTGTTGCACGGAATTGCATGAGTTCAGTACTAACTGCCATAGTTTCGACGATGGATATTTTTGAACTTGTTTGGGTGAATTCTGGCGCATTATCATTTTCATCAAGCACCTCAATGCTCACTGTAGTAGTGGAACTCAAACTGCTAGTTCCCGCGTCAGAAGCAATCACGCTGAGAGTATATTTTGATGCCTGCTCACGATCTAAGTTTCTGGCAAGCGTTATTTGGCCAGTTGCTTCGTCGATTTCAAAACGTTTGTCTTCGTTCCCATTCATAATGGAATAGAACACGTCGCCGTTCAATCCTTCATCTGCGTCACTCGTAAAAAGTCGGATGATCAGAGTTCCGACGCTGGCACCTTCAGAAATTTGAACCCTATATGGTAATCTTAGAAAGACCGGTGGATTATCATTCACGTCAGTAATGAAAACGTTTACTTGAACTTTATCTCTCAATCTTGGCGATCCGTTATCTGTAACTGTAGCTTCTATTGTCAGATAACTTTGCCCGGTCGTTTGCACTAGTTGTTCGCGATCAAAAAGATGCAGGGTTTTTATGAAACCGTTTTTGGGATCTACAGAGAAGTCGTTTTGACTACTGGGCAATGAAAATATTAATTCTGCGTTTCTGCCGATATCTTTATCAGTTGCTGTCAATTTTCCAACGAAAGAATCTGGTGGTTCGTTTTCTTGGATGGTGAACGTGAACGTCGAATTGATGAATTGTGGACTGTTATCATTTTCATCGATTACATGAATAACTACAGGAACAGTAGAAAAGCGTACCGGTGATCCTGAATCGCTCACTGTTACTGTTAACGAATAGTAGTCTTTGTGTTCTCTGTCCAAAGATTTTCTTACAAACAAATATCCGTCTGGAAAGATACCAAATTTCCCTTCTGAATTTCCCTCGGTGATTGCATAATTTATCCTTCCGTTTGCTCCAAGGTCCACGTCGCTGGCAGCAAGAGCAAAAAATCTCGTATTAACCGGAGTTGATTCGAAAAGCGACGTTTCATACGAGGTATGATCAAAAATGGGGGTATGGTCGTTGACATCTTCTATATTAACGATGACCAGATGTTTCGATGATAATGGTGGATCACCTCTGTCGTTTGCAGTAACCTCTGTTTGTAATGTCGTGCCGGGTTCAACTCTTATCGGTCTGTTTAGATAAATAACTCCAGTAGCTTCAGAAATCCGGAACTGATCGTCCGGATTGTAACTAAGACTATAGTTAATGCGGCTATTAATTCCTGAATCGAGGTCTCTAGCTCTTGCTAAGTAAACTTCCTGACCAACGGCAGCATTTTCAGGTAGTGTAATTTCATCTCGATCACGTAAAAATGTTGGTCGATTGTCATTCAAATCTAAAACGATTATATTTACGGTTGTATTGCCATACGAAAGACCTACGCGTGCTACAACAGTGAGACTGTAAGTTAGTTGTTCTTCTCGATCTATTTTGCTTGCTGTTGCGATTTGTCCAGAATGTTCATCTATGTTGAAGTTATGCTCTGGATCTCCGTAGACGATTGAATATGATACGGATTCGCTAGAACGCACCCTAACTTTGCCAACTTCTCTTCCTATTGATGGTGGACGTTCATCGTGATCTTCATAAATTTGAAATTCGTACGAACCGAAATTGTCGAATTCCAATTTCTCCATATAATCCTTTTTTATTATTTCTACCAAAGCATCTTCACTTGCCCTCTTATCCCCATGATCTTTAGCGGATATTTTTAACTTATATATGGGTTTTTGAGAAGTTCGAAGATTTCCACGTAAACTTATGATACCAGACCATTCGTCAATGGAAAATAAGTTTTCGCTTCCAGTTTCTATTTTATAGGTTATCATAGCGTTTTCGCCTTCGTCCAAATCAGTAGCTGTAACTTTTAAAAGTGAGCTTCCAATTTTTGTGTCTTCAGAAACGGGATAGAAATACTTTTGCGGATAAAATTCGGGGCTGTTATCGTTCACATCTAGTACAGTCAACAATACCGTTGCTGTAGACGATTGTGGCGGTATCCCTTGATCTTTTGCGATCACGTTTATCTCGTACTTTGATATTCGTTCTCTGTCTAATCTCGTTTTTGTTGTTAATTGACCCGTTAGCGAGTCTAAAGCAAACGTATCTTTGTATCTTCGTTGCACTGACGATTGTAAAGAATATGTCACACTACCATTTGTGCCTTGATCATGATCAACAGCTGTTAACATGGCAACAAGGGTGTGTGGCGGTGAACTTTCTGATAAGCTAACGTTAATAGATTTTTGGGAGAATTTTGGTGCTTCGTCGTTTTCATCCAAAATGGTAACTTTGAGTTGAGTGTAAGCCCATTTAGGATTCGGTCCACCATCTCTTGCAGAAATATTCAATTCCACACTACCTTGAATTTCTCTATCAAGAGGAGCCTTTGTTGTTATTAGTCCTGAATTAGAATTAATTGAAAACCAATCGTTTTCATTTCCCGATATAAAATTGTAATAAATTTGTGCATTGACTCCGGTATCTTCATCCGAAGCAGTAATTCCAGCAACGTAAGTTCCCGGTGGTACGAGTTCGCTCAAAACTGCGGAATATTCGCTTTTTTCAAAGACAGGTTCGTGGTCGTTAACATCATTTACATGAATAATGAGGAAGGCCGTAGCAGTTCTGGGCGGAGTCCCTTTATCTGTTGCTACCACTGTGAGGTTGTACTTGCTGATTTCTTCTCGATCCAAAACACCATTGACCCGCACTATTTCAAAGCTGGGACTGTACTCCAATCGAAAGTGATTTAATTCATTTCCAGCTACTATTTTAACCGTAGTTTCACCATTAAGACCTTCGTCTTCGTCCCTAACAGAAACTGCTGCTACTACGGATCCGTTTGCGGCATTCTCATCCACTGTAGCAAATTCGGCCGTTGATGGAAAGTATCGGAATTGAATATCTGGTACATGGTCATTAGCATCTACCAAATTCACGGTAACATACGTTCTTCCGTCTTGTCTAGGACATCCGTGATCACGGGCGAAAACTGTGAAAACGCAGCTTTTAGGACATCTTCCGCCTCCTGGCTTATTGCTTTGGGAACAGCTTTGCTGAGGACAGTCCAGGGGTTCTGTGGTCGATATGACGCCAGTTTCCGGATCGACAGAAAATTGGTGTTCCGTTTCTGAGAGATAATAAGTAATTTTGCTGTTATCACCGACGTCGTTATCTGTAGCCATAACTTGAAGCACCGGACTGCCAGGTGGAACGCTTTCGTTGAGAGAAACAATATAATCGCTATGATCAAATATGGGAGGATTATCATTGACATCGAGTATGGTTACGTTAACTTGTAAGTAACCATATTTCGGAGGTCGGCCACCGTCTCTAGCTGAAATGTTCAATATGTAAAACCCATACGTTTCTCTATCAAGTTTTCCGGTCGTTTCTAAATGTAAATATGAACCACCACCTGTTGGATTCTCTGTTACGATTAGTTGAAACTTTTCGTCTCTATTGCCAGCTACTATTTTGTAGTCGTTAGATATACCATTGGACCCTTCGTCCCTATCACTTGCTGCATCTAAAAGTAATCTTGTCCCTGAAGCAGCGCTTTCTGAGAACGAAACAGCTATAACTGGTTCTGGAAATTCTGGAGCGTTGTCGTTGATGTCTTTCACAACAATTCGCACTTCGATGGGATACGTCGGTTGACTTGATAGAACAATTAGATCGTATCGATCATTTTGAAGCGCTTCCCTATCTAAAATCGCATTTGTTTTTATTTCGCCTGTGCTTCCGTCTAATATAAATTCTCGGGGAGGCTCGTTAAACCGATAGGTAAATCCAGGTTTGGTAGGGATTTTTCCAACAACTGTTCCTTTCGGTTGCCCTTCAGGTATTTCTAAAGTAACTCGCGTATCGACTGCTCTAGATTGCATTTGTAGCGAATATTCGTTATTTTGATCGGACACGATCCTTTTTCGACCTGGTCCTGGTCCAGGTCCTTGAGCACCCACTATAAGAAGCAATCCTGCCGTCAAAAGCCAACACTGTACGTGACACATGTTTATGACGTGTTTTAATCACTACCTGGACATGTTTTATATTTTCTTCGTCAAATGTTTTTTTTTATCGAAGAGGTGACCTGTTTGCAAAACTCACGTTTAACGATAATTATCAGGTCCGTTGGGTTCAGTTATTTAACAGGTGTGCGATAATTGAAGAAGCGATTTGGGGAAAATGTTTTTTTCCGGAATATTTCGATTTATCCTGAACATTTCGAAAAAAAATACGTCGTCGTACACGTGTGCCCGTGTTAGAAGCTACGAACCGCGGTCTAACATTCCGTTCGGTCCCTCGCCCCGTTCATCACCGCCAGAACCCGTCCAGCCTCTGGAAAAGAACTTGAGTCTCTCGCTCTTTCTTCAAGACTTACTGCGGCCGTTCTCACTCCGACTGGTATGCAATATGGCCGGCCCTTGTTGCTGCTGCTGCTGCTTCTGTGATGATGATGCTGCCGCTGCAAACGACAAGATCGCTTTCAGCTTCCTCAAATCCTGACTTAAAACAGAAACGTTTTTAGTGCACGCACTGTGACTGCGACTAGGCACTCTACAACACTCATAACACTTAACTAAATCCTGTCACCTACGCGTTCATTCAACTTTCACGGAAATCAACCGTATGCATTTGTTTACTATTATAAACAATTCACAGGAATGTTCACCTATTTCGCGCGTATTTCATCAATGAAACGACATCGAAGGATCAAGCACCGAACTCCTGCACTGTTACTGAACAAGTTTTTAGTGAGTTACGCACAGACACTAGCGACTGTACTTGGTCGAGTTTAAGTCAAAAGAGACACACTTGCAGGACTGTTGAGTAGTTCTTCGAGCTAAGCAGCTTCGCGCGCGGTTCTCGACTAAACTGAGCGTTATTTCTTCAGATTTGCCTTGGGAGGAGTTGTAAGAGGTGTCCAATGGCAACCTGCCGACGTTGCCAGTTCACCTGCACTTCGATACCTGAACTAAACATAAACAATATTTATGACTTTGTCAGATGGACCAGGTTCAGGTCGTAAATCTATTGAGAAGATTTTTTTGTGCCTCCAAGATCGGAATCTAACGCTAGTCGTCCGCGAACATGCCGAGAGATTGGATTCAAATAATTATGAATATGCTCCGTCTGATCAGTCGCCTAACAAATTGAAATCATTTTATAAATTCGGCTTTTGCTGTCCTTAATTAATTTTCATACGTAAACAAATGAACTAATCGATTCGATTTACAAAAATTACTGATTAAGTCTTCATTACTACTGTTTTAATTAAATGCGTATGTCGACGTTGCTAACTCAACCTTATTAGGCAGGTACCTACCTAGTCGTTTTATTTTCAACTAATTTCACAAAAAATGATAATGTGATTTATATCCACCATTTTTAATGTCTTAATTTTAAACTTAGTTCTAGTCTTTTGATTGTACTACTACTTGATGTTTCAATTTTACGTTTTCCAGAGACAAACGCTCGCGGTCACTCAAAAACCATGCTAACGTTTTTAGTATAACCAGCGTAATGGTTTTGTAATGGAAAATTAATATCAGTGTAGGACCATATGTAGTGTGTCGACTGAGATGTTCTTTTTTATCGTATTGTACTTCGTTCTTTCCGAGATAGATATTTTGAAATGATATACCTATGCCGATACCTTAACAACCATAAGGTGGCAAGCGCGGGTTCGTGTCTTGATCTAACATCAAAGTCACTGTACTTATATTATACATAAGTAAGTGCATGGCAGGTTACCATAGGCAACTATATAAATATGAATTTCTTTTCAGTTAATCAGTTACCCCTACAATGTAATGATGGTCGTTTAGAAATGACAATACAATATTAAAATAAAACACACTACCTTCAAAAAGGTACTTGGGCGTGTAAATGTGCAATGGTAATGTGATTTAAAACGAATTTTCAATTTATTTCACGCTAATATATAGGAAAAGCTAGTTTACAGGCGTGACGCTATCTACCTATAACTTTGTACAAATCTATTTTTTTGTCAAGCAGGGTATGACGAAATTTTTTTAGAATTATATTTTGACACTCAGACCTTTCAGCCATTTAAATTTTTTAATGGAAGAAGTATTGTTACAAAGCCTAGAGCTAAATACGTAGGTAGGTACCAGATGACAAGAAACCTAAAGGATTTAGACTTGCATATTTTTATTTAAAGATAGTGACAAACCCTTTTCATGTTTAAAATGAAAGGAAAGGAATAGTATTATTCTGTATAGTTCTAAATAACTTTGGCAACTATTATCTAGTATCTTGTCTTGTCGTTTGGGTAAAACTAATGACACGCACCATAATAGGTTGTCCAAATTCCTGGAAAAAATCAGGTAAAATTCTTCAGGTCTAAACTTGTGAATGAATAGGTACTTCGTGCTATGAGAAAATTTAAAATATTATGTTTTTCATTTCGACGTCCCTTCTATTTTGCAACATAATTTCTGGGTTTACAATTTTAAATACCAAAACTTATTTCTTCCATTACTCGTTTAGCAACTATTCATTGTTTTCTTAAGTTAAATCTCTCACGAATCAATAGTGCTACACATAATTTTAAAATAACGAAATAAGACTTTTTTTGTTGATGCCTTTAGGAGTTTATTATTTAATTTATTTTATGTGATTGACGTTGTTAAAAACATACTTTAATTGAAGCTTTCACTTTGAATTGATTTGTTAAACATTATTTATAAACAAAAATAAAATTGTCATTTTAATAATAATGTTCGAAATTGATAGTTCAATTATGATTTACCTCATTCCTGCCGAAATTTCGAAAGATGAGACTTAAATAAATGGTTTAAGTTTGCGAGATACCTGTATACATATATAATGAATAATCGTCAAATACTTGACCGCAAAAGTACCGTTTATCTACTTAAACAGTGCCATCGCAGATCGCAGTCGATCTTCTTCGGTACTATGACCGGTCAATAATAATATAGCACTATAATAAATTTCAAAAGCTTGTATGTATTTATCGTGTAACATACGAGAGAAGGCGTCAACTTACAGGACGAGAAAACGTTTATAGAAATATATCCTCTTTGATTCCAGATACCTCTTTCACTTACGACATACTTAAATTATTTTATACACTGATGTTTTTTAATAAATTTATACGATAATTTCAGTCTAAATTTAAAGGAACTGAATAAATTATAAGTGCCCGACAATAGTAGGTTGTGACGACTGTTAATGATTCCGTTCCGAAGAGATTCAAATTTTACTTTTAAGTTGTAATAGTAGAGTATTTAGATTTATACCTTTTATGAAGCGTATTGAAATATGTTCACAGGTTTTTTAGTTACAATATAAAATAGAAAATGGTCTTTATTATTATCATTAGTGAAACAGTTCCTGTGACGTACTAACAAAACTTAGTAGTATAGTATACGGAATTTACCCTTCCTTTCCGTACATAAATAACCCTTGGTAAATTTTATAAATAAACAATAAAAACAACAAGTTTTGCGTTTTGGAAAGTACCTATCTATTGGGCATTTTGTCAAAAATTTTTTTTGTTTTTGCGAGGTTGTTATCGAAACTATTTAATGTTTAATGATGTACAGGAATTGACAGTGGTAAGTTCTCATTCGTATCTTATAGAATTGGTATTGTAATGGGAAAGCGCGCTGTGTATATATAATCTACATATAAGTGAAAACCACTGTTTGTTTGCGTACACACATACAGACACACACACAATTTACGACATTGTCACTGGGACTAATTTAAAACTGGGTCCAGATCTTATAAATCAGCCAGTTGTCATAGATAACTGCCGTTCAATTTAGAAATACTGAAATCCACATTATTCTAACAAACTCTTGTTGTCCAACAACAACTAGACAACGAATACGACAAGAAACAACAAAACCAAGTAAGTACGAGAATCGAGAAAGCCTAGACTATCCTACGACTGGAACATATCTAGAGAGAATCGCATTTAAAACAATTTATGGCAGATTCTGGAACCCAGTTTCCTGTAGTGAATTATTAATTTGCCTTTTCCATTCCGTTTATCGAACAGAGATGAAAATATATTGGGACTCAGTTCTCGGATAAAGAGAACAAACGAGGAAGTGAACCTGTAAAATGAAACAAGTGAACGCTCTTAATTAACTTGATGGTTTAAAATTGTCGTTGCTGTAAGATTACTTCGTCTTAACGATAGTGTTAAACTGTTTCAAATCTATAGGGTTTTCTTTTACGATTACTAACAAAAGGCAATGGCGTAAGAAAATCTTTATGCCTAAATTTTAATATTTTAAGTTTTTGCTACCGTAATTAAAAACTAATTATAATTACCTACCTATAAATACTTGAGAACTACTGATTAATAAATTCTAGTATTCTTTTTTTCTCAATACTTTTTTATAACTATTATAACGTATATATGCGCACATAATTATATGTATATATTTATACCTGCTAACTTTC